CTCTGAATGCATATACACAGTGGTTGATGTGATGTGCTCAGCAGCTATTTTGCAAACTCTGGATTCTACCCAGAATGCTTGCAATGAATAGCATTTAGCAATTGAAGTCTCAGGATATCACCTTGAATAACACCTCTGTGTTGAGAGTCTGAGATAAATTGGCTCGGTACTAATGTGTTCATTTATTTAATGATGTTTGGTGTGTTGCTTGGTTATTTTCCTCGGGGATGAAAGCAATTAAAATCTTGAGCCTTTGCCACGATGAGGTCCGGCCATGCGCTCATCTTATTGTTCACTGGCAAAAGGAGGAGTGGCGGCTCTGGACTTGTCCTAGTTGGGAAAACAATTATCTCTGTTCAGATCAGGGCTTGCTCTGAAAAAGACGATCGTGAGCTAACTCAATTAGACGTGTGCACTCAGAGTTTAATTGCTGAGAGCTCAATGACAAACACGACATGATGAAGATGTTCAGTTTTGTCCTTTTGCTTGGATGTGGTGCACAATCTGATGAGTGCATTTATTTTCAGTTTGTATAGAGGCGAATATGAAATGCATCAGCGCAGCACAGCCCTGGAGACTGATCCCATCTGTTCAGGGCCTGCCTGTGTAGTCAGAAACTCATCACAATGTGGTCCCCAAGGTTTTTGCAACCCCCCCCTTTGTCTCTCCATTTGTTACCTCTTTGTTTTATTGCTGAGAGGGCGGGGAGCCCGGGGCAAGAGCCCACAACCCCAGAGAAGAGGAGGAGGGGGTTGGTTGGTTGGTTGGTGGACCTGAAGCCTTAATGGACACAGCATCCATGAGATGGCCCAGTGGAAGTGATGCTTCCTGGGCATGTTTTACGCTTGCGTGAGCTCAGGGCTGGGGCTCGGGCAGGGCGGGGTGGGGTTGGGGAGCTCTAGCCATGAGGGAGGGAGTGTGGAAAGAGACGAGTGTAGCCAGGATGCTACTGCATGTTTTGTTTTGTCTTCCACCCATGTGCAACTGAAAGAGAAAGAGGCGTCAGAGGGAGTTGCATTTTCTTGGGCTTTAGAGGATCACCCCGGACAATAGCACGTAAGTCAGGCTTGTACAGCTTATTTTTATGGCTGCTGTGTCATTGGGAAAGTTGTGATGATTTGCTTCAGTCAGCAATATCTGCTGAAGTTTATCCTTCTGCTGATCAGATGTGTTCCCTGCCTCTTTTCTTCATAACATAGATTTTGCACACCTCAGATTACATTTATATTTAAGGACTCCTTTGTTCAGTGCACTTTCCAATGGTTGCTGCAGCAAGGTGAAGAATAACCCTTTAACATAATGATGAAGCTTACAAATGTCTGCTAACCTGCTCCCTGGGAGAAATCCTGTTTCCCTTTTCCCCCATCATCATATTTCACAACGTATTTTGTTCCAACTTCTTATCTTCTCCTTCAGGAGGCCTTTTCTGGCCCTTTTCAGGTCTTTTTCCAATTAATGCAGCTTGATGTGCCAGCCACCACTGAGAGAACCGCCTCAGGCAGCAAATGGCCTTATTTAGTGGGGATGAATATTCATTTGTTTTGAATAATTATTTCTACAGAGCTGTTAGTTATTGATAAGGGAATATATGTACAGTATAATCCAAGATGTTTTTTTATTTTATTTCCACAAGTAATTTTGCTCGGATTAAACCTAGAACATAAACATCTTGATTGTCACTTATACAAAAACATTAACACAACATATAACTGGTATTGTCAGCTTCCCAACATCTGGACTGGATTAAATCATGACTTTATGTCCTATTAATTGCAAAGTGGAACATTCAGTTTGTCTTTTGTCTAAGATGTCAAATATTTGGATTTATAAACTGTGCATGATATTTGTTTGGACTGCTGGAAGTTCAGCTGTTATTTTCGTCAATTCCTGCAGACAGAGACTTTGTCTGTTAGCCTGGATTTGGGTTTCCAGTGGGCGAGGTGGGGACAGCCACTAAAACCGCAGCCCAGACAAGTTTTTGGGGATGTCTAAAACAGAGGAAGACATTTTTACTAAAAAAAAAAACACTTGCTTCAAATGTCACTGTTGTTCTACGATCCATGTTAATGTCATGAGTTTTATGGCGTCTTATTGCAGGGAAAGATGTGAACGTATGAAGTGGTGAGGTCATTACTCCGCTGTGTGGCCTTGGGTCGCGCTACAAATACTTCCTCATACAGATTTCCTTGCTGCTGTAAATTACCGAAGCTGCGTCACGCATCTGATTAGAGGTGTGAGGATAATGTAGCATCGCTGTCTGTGTGTTTTATACGGGAAATTGATTCGTACTGTGCTGTTTACAAATCCATTAGTGTGTTAGCAACGTGTGCAGAATGAGTCACAGGAGAGGCCATGCTTGAATCGACCATTGTCTCTCCTCGCTTGTCGGTCTTAAGAGGGGAGTTGTTGTCAGTGGGAGCAGAGTGACCCTTCTCAGGTTCCACTAACAATGTCACAAAACGTCTCTTTTTCCCGACAAAACGCAGCCGTCTTTGGATTGGCAGGGGACGTTGGAATGAACCAGAGAGTGACAGACAGCAGTGGGCTTGACTGAGGAACAAACAGGCTGTGAAGAGCGAGCGGAAGGTTTGCCAGTGAAAAGATTAGAGTGGCATCTGGCTCGATTGCCAAGATGCATCGCTGCTTTTGCCACACTGTCATAGCAACGGAAGCTTTACGCCGCTCTCCCAGTTTCCCCACTGAGCACCCAGACTGTACCAGAGAGTCATTTAAAGCTCTTGTGATTCTTCATGTTGACCCCGACGTTCACCTGCAGTTAATCATGTTACAACATAAATGTCTCTTTCTTAAGTTAGGCTGCGTTAACGAGACCTTCGCGACTTCAGCGTTGATTACTCACTCATTTCCACGGCTTTATTTTCCTCTTGAATGACATGTAAATGAGTGCGCTGCATTAAAAAGTCTATTATACAGGTTCACGTAACCTCAGCTGAGCATCTCGACAGGCCCATCCATCCCTGTCGCTCCCATTTGTCATGCAGGGCACCTCTGTTCCCCGGTGACCAATCAGGAGTGCCTCCTCGTGTGGCTGAAAGAACCCCCCTCACCGCCTCATCATCAGACGTGATTGACAGCCTCCCACAGGAAGGAGGGAGGGGGGTTATTTACCTCCTTATGTTCTCATGGGAGTAAGTTAATGATCCCAGCCAACAAAATAATACAAAGCGAGGGAAAAAGCCTGAGAAGTCGACGCCAGGGTTGAAGCATTTGGAGCAGTTTGGGCTTCCTTTAGAGAGGATTAGAGGAGGAGAAGAAGCTGTGTGAAGGGAATTTCAGAGATAAACGGTGAGACAGATGAAACAGCAAAGCCCAGACAGAAAGCAGGAGCTGAAGGGAGGCTTCTGTAGAAAGCCTGTGTTTTTAGAGAAATCTCTTCCCAGGCTTTATTGCTGTTTGTCACCTGGACTATGGACCGGCTGACTGACTGACTAACAGACCGAGAGGTAAGGGATGATCTGTAATTCCAGTGGGGGACACTTTAAAGTCGACTTCTGGCTTGAGAAAGTTTCCGTGCACTGAAATAAACTTGCATTGCCATATCCTTTGTACAGTTTTCTCCTCTCAGATTTGGACATTTTAAATGAAATGTTTTGCGCATACTGAAGCTTCCATTGTATTCTGCACTGGGTGTCATGGAATCACCAAGATAAAAATGTGTCTATGTGACTCTTTATCTGCTCTCACATACCTTACAATCCAAGTTATTTTCATTGCTCTCACCTTCGCCTTCATACTTTATTGAACCCTGCAGGCGAAACTGAAACACAAGGACTCCTGGCAGACGCTCACAGTCGCTACTGATCCAAATCAATCCGTGTCTTGTGTGCTCCGGTTTTACCACATAACAAAAACATTTGCTTTACACACAGATACTGTATCAACAATTCTGATTTGACATGGCTGACAAGGTCTTCTCAGGTAAAAACGCCTCCAACTACAAACCACAGACCTCGACAGTTTCACAGCGAGCGTGGTCTCAGACCCAGAGCAGAGGAATCAATGGTACTTTATTATGTGATCAGCATCGTCGTTGTTTGGATGCCAAGTGTGTTAGCCAGCACATGTTTGGGAACATTTTCCATGTAGCTGCTGTAGACTGTTGAACAGATGTCAAGAATCGAGACAACTTGCTGCTCTCTGTAAGTCAGCTGTCTCAACCACAGTACATTCCTGCATGTTCATGTTTTCAGTGAATGTAGTTCCATGAAAAAATTGGTGGGATCACTGATAAGAACTTAAGTTGTGGAGTTAGTGCGGTTTGCTTGATCGACATCTGGACTAACCAACTGCTCCTAGACATGGTTGTTGTGTGGGAAAACAACGGATCGTCTCTGAATTAGTTTACGTTTATCCAAATCGGAATTTTCTCTGGAGATCTTTTTGCAGGGACATTCAATCAATCAATCAATCAATCAATTCCATTTTCACATTTTGCCTCCCAGGGCTTAACAAGCTGCAAAATGTTGTGACCCTCGACAAGAGAGAGTAAAATTTACCAAAGAAACCTGTTGAAAATGCATCAACAAAATAACAATATTTACAACTTTCTCGAGAAAAGACAGTGTCTTACATAAGTTTATCAATGTTTCAAGTATTTTAGTCCAGAGTGTATTTAAACTCACCTCAAGTATGAAACATGTGTCCAACTGCAATAATCCAGACCACGTTTGTTGATAGGAAATGCAAAGCAGTCGTGGTCGATATTATCTGTGAATGTCATCTCACCAAACTTTGCACAGAAATGTGTTTTTTATGGACGGGTTGTTTTTGTGGTGTGCAGCTCAGCTATTTAGAAAATGTTTATTTGAGGATGAAAGTTTTTTTTTTATGAGAGTAATGGCAGGACTCCATGCTCTGATAGCACTGAGCGATAGACCAAACCACTGGAGAAGTCCTGCCCCTCTCCTACGATTGGCTAATGCAACAATTTGCAGCCCTCTGCGTTGGTGGATGGGTTAGGTACAGTTCTCAGTGAGAGGAAAGGAAAAAGGGTGGAAAGTTTCGATCTCACTGCTGACAGGCAGCAGGCGCAGAGAACAGTGTTAGAGGGTCAGTGTCTCACATGGAGCAGCAGAGACCAGTCACACATTGCTCTGAGCTCTGACCTCTGCAGTGGATGATCTGTGCAGAGCCCCCAAAATTATCTACACTGGCGTCTGAAGGTGGCTCTTTTCCTCTGCTGTTTATGGATGTAATCATGTGGCGGGTAAGTCACAGGGTCACTTTTAATTCAGTCTGTATTTTATTTTATGTTGCTGTGGCTCTGTGTGTTTGCTGCCAAAACATTGAGTCATCACATATAAGTTTCCAGGCAGTGCTCTGTGCAAGTGCTGAGTCTGTTCGGCCTTGTTGTGATCACAGATTCCTGCATGTTTTCAACTGTGGGTAATACTTGAGGGATAAGGTGACTAAGTGTGGAGGCCAAGGGGAATTTTGTGATTTTAAAAAGCACTGAAGAGCAGGGGACAAGCTTCCCATTGTAAAAAAAACAGCTCTGCAGTTTTCTGAAATATACTTTTCTACATGCGCTCTGGCTGAAAGAATGTATTTTTTTTAGGGCAATCCCATTATTCCTGAATTTACAGTCACGTTCTTCCTCTTGTTTCATCATAAAAGTATTTTTATTACCTTCACTTAAACTTAAAGGGATCAGCTGAAGCACCGAGGAAGATAAAACCAGCCTTTTATCCATAATCTGGCAGCAAAACACCATTTGCGTCACGGATAAGATAAAAAGATACAGACGTTTCTACCCATTCAACATCCATATGTGCTGCAGTAATAAATCTGGCCCCAGTTTGTGACAGGCCGACATACATAAAAGCACACAGGAGTCTTGTTACATGGAGATAGCAGAGTAAAAAGTGGGACGTTGCAGTTGGGGTCTGTTGTCGGATCCCTTATTAATTAGTAACGTATCTTGTTGTAGTCAGGAGGAATGTTAGACATCTTCCCACCATTCTGCTTCTGATCGCTGCCGTGACAAATAGATATTAAGCTGTCACCATGGCAGCACATTTAGAGCACTCAGTAGGAAAAAAAACACGGCATTGATTTTAAGTGAAGGGTTAACTGAGATTATCTGAGGGTGAGTTTTTGAATAATGATGCTGTTACTGTCAGTTTACTTGTCGAACTGGAAGGAATATAAAATAATGTATAGTTTGATTTTAATACATGTGAAACATATTTAGAGTTATAGTCACCTCTTAGGGTAGTTATTACCAATAAAGTTGATTTATATAGCACCTTTCCTAACACAGTTGCAAGGTGCTTTACAAGTTAGAAATTAATAATTGAAGCCAAACAATAAAAAATACATCCGAGAATAGGATTGAAAAAATATTACAGATAAGAAAAAACTAAAAAGGTATGAAAAATATTAAAATAGAAATTACAAATAGAGAAAGAACAAGACAAAACTAATACAACAAAAACAATATGATATCATACAAAATAAAACAATATAATATAATACTATATCCTACTAATAATAAAACGGTTACAGATGAGATGAGGGTAAAAAAATATTAAATTAGGGTAAAAAATATTTAAGGGTTCAGCCACAAGGTGTCGCTCTGTGAATGTTTTCCCTCTGGCTTTAAACCCTCTCTGTGTCAATCAGAAATTAAACGCTCCCTCCCCATAGGTCAAAACTCAGTGTGAGACGCATCTTCTTGTAAAAATGGACTTTAAAGCAGCAGCAGGCTGCAGCCACCATGTTTGGAGAGTGACTGACTTTCTGTGGAGCTCCTGTGGTTGTGAGGAGGAGACGATGTTTTCCCGCTGATGCCACCTGCAAAGCTGCTGAGAGGAAATGAGGGCTGGGTGCAGTTTGTGCTGCTGACCACCATGACCTGCACAGCCCAGACAGAAAGCACACAGAGAAGGTTTAACTGACCTTTAGACCTCTGTTTCCAGTTCTTAGTCTGTGAGCAGCTTCAAATATTATAGACCGTCATTTCTGTATAGTGAGAGGAAGTGGAAACACGTGGTCCATCTTTATTTACAGTCTCTGTTTAACATGAGTTTCCCACTTCAGTGCAGAATGAAAACTTCCTCTGGCACTGTTGTTATCTCCCACATAATCCTGTCTGACAGATGAAAAAATTAACTGGACCAAATGTTTGGATTTGCAATTAACTTTCCGTCCTTAATCATTTAAATAGCAATAATACAGGGTTTTGGTCGTGGCCAGGAACCTTACACAGTTAATCACAGTAATGTGTGCAGCTGCAGACCAGGTACATTTGTCAGTCTAATCATTTGGCTCGTGCTGCTCCAGCTGTAAATCACATTAGGCCTGAGCGCGCCGCTGCTGAGCTGGCTGCATTTTAAAGGGAGCAGCAACAGGCCACGCATTGGTCACAGCTATGCTGTGAAGACAGGATTACAGATAAATATGTTAGGTGTCGGCCCCGGGAAAGAAGACAAAGAGAAATCGCACTCCCTCAGTCGCTAAATACGCGCTTCGGAGCCATGATTAAGGGTGATAAAAAACCATAACCAAAGGGATTAGAAAGTGCTTGAGCGGGAAATTGTCTTCCTATCTGAGACACTGTAATTGTTTCATCTCTAAATGACCCATTATTCCCTCATCAAGTAAAACTCAGAATGTTTAGTTCGAGCTTGAGTTCATCATCATCACTTGACAAAGTGCCGGTGTATCACACCTGTCATATCTGCTGATGCTTTGCTTTTAGCATCATAATTCTGCTGTGAAACACATAAACTATTCTGGCAATAGAGATATACAGATGTATTATCGGGTGTGTGATATGAAACTATATATATATCTTGGTTATAATATACTCTCATATAGGTTTTGTCACGTCTTTGTCTGAAAGTGCATTTGTTGTTGTTGAGATAAGTGACCTATAAGAATCAGATTGTTTGTTATATCTGATGCTTTGTGAACTTTTGCAGAGTGTAAGAATAGTGATATTAAAACCACACATACACTGTACACTGGTAGGCGTATATAAATTTATAAAACTTCACCCACTCAATATTACTTGGTCCTGCATTTAAAGTTTAGTATTGCATAGACATTTGTTCCATACATGAAACAGCAGAAGCTGCAGCACAAACTCCGGTTATGTTTTCATCTCAGTCTGTTCAACAGACTCTGTTGGGATGTTTGTTGGTTTTAGAAGATTATACAAAAACCTCACTAAACAGATTTCCATGAAACTTAGTGTAAGGTTGGGACATGGGCAGAAAAAGAAAATGTTCAAATTTGGTGTGGATCTGGACAAAGGGCGGGATCTAGGATTTTTATTTTATTACTGTCATTGTGAGATTTGGGCATGTTTTGACTCTCACCAATTAGCAAGGGAAGGCTTCATGGATCTTAATGAAAATAATCTGGCATATTTGATTGATATCTATCATGCATGAAATTTGGCGCAGCTTGATTTCAGTTAATGGAACTGCTTGGCCTTGGTGAATGTATGAGCTCTGCTGAATGTCATTCTTGTAAATCTTCTCTTATGGTTTTCCTCAAATAAAACTGATGACATCATCCAAAATTCCCTGTTGTAGATCCTATAGAGGAAACCTGGGGAATTCCAGTTACATATGCATCTCCAGAGCTCATCCCCATCGCTTTGTTTGAAGCACGTCTTTAATATATACAGTGCGTATCAGTCTTTCGGAAAAAAGGATAGTCACTCAGGAGACATCCTTTGAATGACAGGAGAACTCAAACGCAGCACAGCGGGGGTGTGTCTGGAAATAGACGCACATGGTCAGCAGATGGTACCTCAGCGATCCCCACATGAGGGCCAACTGGGGCAGACGAGGATGCAGCAGTTGATGTTGTGCAGAGTCTGTCTTTATTTGTTGACACGTCCCTCAGAGTGGATGCTCAGTGTCCTTCAGCTGTCAGGAGGCTGAATGGGGATTTTGTCAGATGGTTAGACAGAGTTAAAGGGTCAGTGTGTAAGATTTAGTTGAGAAGTAATCTAATGGAAGAAATTTAATATAAAATAATCCTTTTGATGTTTTCACTAGTGTGTGATTGTCTAAATTGTATGATTTGTTGTTTTCTTTACCCTAGAATTGTCCCTTTATATTTACATCAGGAGTGGGTCCTCTTTAAGGAGGCCGCCATGTTTTTTTACAGTAGCCCAAACAGGACAAATTAAACATCTTTTGAGTTTTTATAACAACTGAAGGCTGCCACAGGTTCTCTCTCATGTTTGGAAGGGGAGGGTGAGGTGAGGGGTGTCAAGCTGCACCATGCTACTCCACCACTAGATTTCACAAAAGTTTGCACACTGAACCTTTAAAGCCTGTAGAGCTTTATATTTTTGTAACACTCCTGATATGTATTGCACTTTATTGCCTCTGCAGGGACAGACAGCACGATGATGTCATTAACATGCTTCCACTTTGCCCAAATCTCTTTTGTCCCATGTTACAATTGAGTCTCGCTGCTTCTATCCGCATTTGTGTCTTCAGCCTTTCTCTCTGATTCCCCAGAGGCAAAACCCAAGAAAAGTTCCAAACCACTCTTCCACAGTATTGTACGTCTAGAAACAGAGGGATGATCACACATGGAAACCTGAAACGCTTTGTGTTACTAAATGGGCAGGGCTGAGAGGACACTAACCTGCCTGTGAGGACACTGACTGGGGCTCTGCATAATCCTGCAGCCTCTGCTTATTTGATGATTTGACCCACTCTCTCTCTCTCTCTCTCT